ACTCTTCCACCCCAACGGCCACCACTGTTGCTGCTCCAGCCAGAGCTCCAAGGGCACATCTGGTGACCTAGCTGTCAACAGGGCAGGAGCAAAGTGGCTGCAGACCTCTTGTGATGGGCATGGCCTTTCTGCATAACGAGGGACAGGTGCAGAGCTAGGACACGGCGGGGCTCCGCCCACAGGGAAGTAGGTGGATGAAAAGGACCAAGGGCAGGGCTGACTCAGGCGAAACTGCATGCAAGCGAACACTTTGTGGCGGGAGTGCTTGCTCCACACTTGAGATATTCCCAGGAAAATCGAAAAGCAGTCATATCACCTGGAAGCACTCCAGAAAAAGAAATCAGCTGGTAAAGTCGCAAATAATTCCAGAGATGGAGTTAAAACCCAGAATTACATATAGTCAATATTAGATTTCCCCCTGGTGATTGCCTTTCAAACTTAACCTCTTATTTTGAAATGAATGGTGAATTATGCCCTTCCAGGAATTTCAGAGGTGAGCACCTGAGCGAGGAAAGCCCTAAAGTCATAGCAGGGAGCAGCTGTCAACGCTGCCAAGGCTTACCGCTCCCTGCCCCACACTGGGCATGGCGCTCATGAGCTCTCATATCAGAAGCAGCAGTGATGGCCTCTTACCATTCCTTTTTGATTATTTAACATGGTTTTAAGTACTAAGACGCTCTGAAATCTTACTGCAACATCAACATTTTGTTTCTAATCTAGAAAAGTACACCATAAAATCCTGGTTAGCTGATAATTGACAATCAAATCGACTTGGCCTTTGATTCATAAGCTGTCAGTAAGGTTTTACAATCTGTAATATCTTAGGCAGTTACTCATTAGCATCTGAGGGGGAAATCCATTTTCATGGGCAGAACCAAAATCAAGTATATACCTGCCCCCACCTCAGTCTAATGACATTAGCATGATTTATTTCCCTCTTTCTTTGCATGTTTAATTAGAGTGTAAGTTCTTTGAACCTTAGCTCCTGATTAGTTTGTGTCTCTCACAGAACTTACCAGAAGGCTAGGCCCACAGGCACTTTTACTACTGATTATTCACTTGAAACATGGCACTTCCTCATCTTCTCTGTCACCATCATTGGTGTCTACAATATTAGAGATGTAAGGGGCTTTTAGATATTATATAGTTCAACTCCTTCATCTTACCGATGAGAAAATTGAGCCTTGGAGAGCATCAATGACTTGTCCAAGTTCCCACAGCACAGAAGTGAGGACTGGAATTCCAGCCTCCAGTTTCCAAGCTCAAAGCTTTTCCATAAGGATAATTAACACCATCTCAGGTTGAAGGGGAAGGGCTCTTCCCTTTAATACAGAAGAGTTTGTATTTGTAACTCTCCATGGAGCTGGGGCAGGGCTGAAGGGTTCTTGGGAATCCAGGCAGGCTGCTGCAAGGCCTGTCTAATGCTACTGTAGCATCTGACATTCCAGGGGCCAATCCTGGGAAGACGGGAGGGTTCCTGGACCTTAGGGGCCTAAGAGACAGACCAGACCAAACCCTGTACCTCTTTGGGTTCTTGATGGGGAATTTGGAAGAAATCTTGGCTCACAGAGATGGTGACAGGAGAAGATAGAGGGAGAAGGGAAATAACCTGCCAAAGATGTAGGTGCTAGTCTCCCACTCCTCGGCAGAGAATGGGAGAACTTCAGCACTGGCATAGCTCCTGGACATGACTTGCAAAGGAAGCACTGTGGAAAGTGCCCTTGACTTGATTTAGCAAAAGACCACGGTAGGAAGGAATATTCTCCTCTGGATGCTGCCTGCAGTCAGCCTGTCCTGGAAACAATGGGCCAACCCCGTATCAGCCTACACCTGTGGGGCTTGATTCAGATAATTGATAAGGAATAAATGGGTATTAATTTTTCGTGTCCAGTCATTTCCTCTTAAGACAGGCCAGGCAGAAGCACACTGTAGGGAAGATTTTCCATGTTCCTCTGCAGCTCCAGGGCTGAGCACAGGCCTGGCACAGATTAGGTCAAAGCAGATTCACAGTGACGGGCCCCTCACTTGCATGGCTCCTTCTAAAGTCCAGGGAGGGGCCCTGCAATGTGTTCACTAGCCATACACCTTCACAAAATTTGCAAAAGTAAAAGGTTTCAGCCACAATTGTCTATAACTACTATGTCCTTCCACCGCCACCTCCCTAACTCTAACCCTTGCATCAGATGGCATTTGAAGGGCCATGGGCCCTTTTAGGATCTGGCTAAGGAGGAGTTGAGTCAGGATAAATTTAGTTTGAATGTAGTGGGATATATTTTATGGTTCGAGACCCAAGTGTTGTTAATATATTGCTAGCCATCTTGGAATAATCATGGTTTCTAGCAACACTCTATTCCCAGTGTGCCAGCTCATTCTATGTCATGAAGGTGCAGGACCAGAGGCCACATTATGATATGAATGTGCCCTACAGCACCTGCCACTTGACACATGTGGGTGGTACATGAGAAACAAGGTTTGTAATGTATGCATTCAGAAGCTAGTCTGTGGCAAATTGGCCAACCAGCAGCTACGCCAAATTACTGGAGAAGGTCTGGTTCTCATTGACGTGCAGGCAAAATGGAAGTTTTCTCCTGTCGGGAATATGCTTATTAACGCAGCATATACAATGATAAACGCACCGTGCATTTATAAAACATTGATAGGAATCATGTGCCATAGAATTGGTCAGAATTCCTGTGTTTTGAGGCACAAAGCTACAGCAGTACTACAGTTTGCATGTGAAGGCATGATAATGCGTCCCAACTAGCAGTCATAACAAACAGATTTGGACTGACTCCTGCTAGAGGAATGACTGAATTATCTCTCCTTCTCTATGTGAAATGAAGAGGGGACTGAAGGGTATGCAACCATAAAATGTGGGGAAAACTGTATTACAGGGGATTGTGAGAAAGTCAAAAAATGAAAAATACCAAGGTATGTTTTGGAAATTGTGGTGTTTATCTGCTTTTAAACATATGGAATTTGTTGTGATTTTTTTCAATTTAATACTATTTTCTTTTGTACATGATATGTGTACATGTAGGGTGTGGCAGGTGAGCAGGCAAGGTCTGGAGGACCCACAGAGAGGACTTTCCTGAGGAGATGGTGACCCAAAGGAGACACCATGTGGTGTGCAATGCAGGCAGGGCCGAGGGTGGTGGTGGAAAATGTGAAGACAGGATGTGTGGAAATGAGGAGGGAATGTTCCAAACATGTGTTTTCCAGGTTTCGTTCACAGTTTTGTCCAGGCCAGCTCCAGAGAAATAGGACCCCATTTTATTCTGGCTAAATTTATGAGCCTGCATACTGAACTTAAAAGACTGGATGGTTTAAAAAAAAAAAAGGTGACTCCACTGATAATAACAATTGATTATCTCAATGACACTGTAAGGGAGCAGGGCACATATTATCATGAGCCTCATCTGGCAGATCCCAGAGCACATATCTGGTTCAGTGAATGTCTGCTGTCTTCTCTACTCAGAACAGAACTTTCTCACTTCATTGGGAAACCTGCCCAAATGGGAGTTGTCATATTTGCTGCCCTAGTGGGTCCAGGGCTGGGCATTTGGCTTAAACTGGGCCAATCAGAGCTCTCCCCTGGAATTTTAAAATGTGAGCCCAGCCAGAGTGGTACTCACCTGCTGTTGAGGGGTTAGTGTGAGGCCTGCCAGCAGCCCTGTCTATGCACACGTGCAGGAAGCGTGTCTGTGAGAATGAAGCACGGGCACTGGCAGAGTAATGAAGAGACAGTCTTGTTTTCAGACTAGGAGAGGAGAGCCCCCTGCACTTAGCCTGATGCTCTAGCGGGCTCCACTCTGGCCTCCTCTGGGGAGGCATCTGCGGGGTGAAGGGGCTATACCCACGTCAAGTCTGTGCGCCCCTCTCATTTTAGTCCCAAGAATTCTCTGTCCAAATGCCCTTGAGCCTCTTCCAGAGCCTGCTTGGGCCTCTTCCCCAGGTCTGTCCTGCTGGAGGCTGACCGTGATGCTGGTGTGCAAACCCCCTAGGCCTGAAGGATGGCCAAGGGGCAGCTGTTTGGGGAATCTGGTGGGGGGTGGGGTGTATGGAACTTGGGTGTGCAGTTTGGGGTGTCCACATTCACGCATGTGAGACCATTTGTGATCTGGAGCAAAGCTTGTGGTGGGAAGAGAAGGGAGAAGCCCACAGGCTTGGAGCCAGCCCTCCCCATGCTGTAAGTTTCCAAAGCAGAACTTGAAGGAGTCAGAGACTTCTTTTTTTTTTTAAAGTTTGGCACCTGGGCTAACAACTGTTGCCAATCTTTTTTTTCTTTTTCTGCTTTATCTCCCCAAACTCCGCCTGTACACAGTTGTATATCTTAGTTGCAGGTCCTTCCACTTGTGGGATGTGGGACGCCGCCTCAACGTGGCCTGACGAGCGGTGCCATGACCGCGCCCAGGATCCGAATCCTGGGCCGCCGCAGCAGAGCACGCGAACTTAACCGCTCGGCCACGGAGCCGGCCCTGGAATCAGAGAATTCTAATTCAAACCTGGCCTTCCAGGTGGGATGATCAGAACATATTTTATTTAGGAGTTTGTAAGTTTCGTCTATACCTCTCTGATATTTAGACACGGAGTGTGTGGGTCTGCATTTGTACTCTTGCCCTGGGTCTCACAAATATTAGGGGCGGACCTGAGTAGAGACAAGAGATGGAGAGAAAGTCCCAGTCGCATTGAGTCTCTGGTTCAACATGTTCCTGATGCACAATGCACTCTGCCTTTCTCTTGGCTTGATCTTATCAGTTAATAATGAACAAATTTTTGCCTAAATTAATTTCGATTTGTGTTCTTCAACCAAGAATCCTAGCCAATATAGATAGGAAGTGTTGAAGCTAGGACTTGAACCCAGGCTCTGACTCCTGGGTCTGTGCTCCCTCTACCATGTCACACCAGCTTCCTAACTGCCTCTCCTGCTACAAGCCAAGCAAGACTTACTGATACTATGGCAGGTAAAAGTCTGAACCCATGGGGAGGATTTTACTTACCTGACTCCGAAAAAGACTTGCAGGAGAGTACAGATGCCAGAGACAAAGAACATGGTGCTGATGAGGTAGCTTTTGGTCAGGGGGTCATGCTGCAGACACAGGTCCTTGGCCAGGATGAGCGGCACTGCCACGAGCCCCCCCAGGGCCGTAAGGAAGTGCTGTGGGCAGAGCAGAGAGAGTAGATGGACATGTAGATGCTGCGGCTGCCTGCTCCACCCTCATTCCCATTGCCACTGCCAGAGCCAAGAGCTCCATCTCTGGTCTCAGAGGAGCCCAGCCATGAGTGACAGGCAAAGATCTAGGCAAACAGTAGAAACTAGGAAGGCCTGACAGGAAGAAGCAGGGACCCAGCCAGAGGGTCTGGGGTTCCAGGGCAAACCCTGGGCAGGACTCTAGTGCTGAGAACAGATATTCTGCATAGAAACCAAAGGAGAGACACAGCCCAGGTGGACATAACAGGAACCAAGGAAAGGACTGCAAGAATAAAAACAAGGCAAGAGGCTCATTATTAAAACAAGGCACAAGGTGAGGGCAAGACCATTGACCAGGAAGGCCTGAGCACGTTCTCCAGGATAGATCATGTATTAAGTCCCAAAACAGCCTTAGCAAATTTAAGACTGAAATCATACCAAGTACCTTTTCCAACTAAAGTGGTGTGAAACTAGGAATCAATAACAGGAGGAAAACTGGAAAATTCACAGATTCATGGAAATTAAGCAACAGACTCCTGAATAACCAATGGGTCAAAGAAGAAATCAAAAAATACCTTGAGACAAATGGAAATGGAAACATAAGATACCAAAACTTATGAGCTGCAGCAAAAGCAGTTCTAAAAGGGAAGTTTATAACAATCAATGCTTATATTAAGGAAAGAGAAAAATCTCAAATAAACAATCTAAGTTTACTCCTCAAGGAACTAGAAAAAGAAGAACAAACTAAGTCCAAATTTAGCAGAAAAAAGGAAATAATAAAGATCAGAGAAGAAATAAATCAAACAGAGATCAGAAAAACAATAGAAAGATCAACTGGCTTTCTGGAAAGATAAACCCTTAGCTGGACTAAGAAAAAAAAAGAGAAGACTCAAACAAATAAAATCAGAAATGAAAAAGGAGCCGTTACAATTGATACAACAGAAACACAAGAACCATAAGACACTAGTATGAACAATTATAGGCCAACAAATTGGATAACCTAGAAGAAATGGATAACTTCCTAGAAACATATAACTTACTAAGAGTGAATCACAAAGAAACAGAAAATGTGAACAGACCAATGACAAATGAGGAGATTGAATCAGTCACCAAAAACCTCCCAACAAAGAAAAGTCCAGGACCAGATGGCTTCACTGGTGAATTCCACCAAACATTTAAAGAAGAATTAACGCCAATACTCAAACTCTTCCAAACAAGTGAAGAGGAGGGAACACTTCCAAATTCATTGCATGAGGCCAGCATAACTCTAAAACCAAAGTCAGATAAGGACACAATAGGAAAAAACACTATCCCTGATAAATAGAGGTGCAAAAATTCTCAACAAAATATTAGCAAACTGAATTCAGCAGTACATTAAAAGGATCATACACCACAATCAAGTGGGATTCATCCCTGGGATTAAAGGATGGTTCAATATATGTAAATCCATAAATATGTCACACCACATTAATAAGATGAAAGATAAAAATCATATAATCATCTCAATAGATGCAGAAAAAGCACTTGACAAAATTCAGGATCCTTTCACGATAAAATATCTACATTATCCATTTGATTGGCTCATCATAATATTTTAAAAATATTATGACATTTGTTCTTATTTTATAGAAAGCACAAAGAAGCAAACAAAAATGTTTATCACATTCCTGCTATCCCATACTGAACAGTTTGTAGTAGTAAAACAAACACATCTATGAAATTAGACAATTCATCCTATAAAAAGTTGCGCAATAAAAAAATGAAAGTTGAAGGCTACCCTGCCTTTCCTAGTTCCTCTTCCCAAAACTAAACACATTTATTAGTTTCTTGTGAATCCTTCAAAACATATGAAGTTACTACATATACTTATTTCTACCGTTGTACCCCTTTTTTGTTTGTTTTTAACAAAAAAAAGATCATACTATATATAGTTATCTACATTGCTTTTTTCATTTAATATAACTTGGGGAACATTCTCTAACTGCAAGATAAATATATCTTTCTCTTTTTAAGAGCTCGATAAAAAAGTCATTTGTTAGGATGTGTCACAATTTATTTAACCTGTTCCCTGTGATGGATATTTTGGTTGTTTCTAAGGTTTGTTTGTTTGTTGTGTCATTTTGATTTCATTATTACCAATAATGTTACAAGAACTTCTTTGTACTGATCTGAACAAGCCTTGTCAGCATATCCACAGAGAAGTTCTCAAGCATTGGGAACTGGGTGAAAGGGTATATGTGTTTTACATGCTGATGGAAATCACCAAATTGTCATCCAGAAAGATTGCAGCAAATAACACTCCAACAAAAGTGTTCAAGAGAGCTCGCTTCCCCAAATTCCCCAAGCATTGGTTAACAAATTTTTCAGTTGTTGCCAATCAAATAAATTAAAATTGGTTTCTTGAAAAAAAGAAAAACAAACGATGGCCCAGTTGGTGTCCTTGATGTGACCTATCAGCCCAGCATGAGAGATTCCTAGCTAATTCCTCCCCCGCCCCCCAAACTCCTGGACAGACAGAGAGACGAGAGGAGCTCTCAGCTCCCCTAGAGCTCAGTTACATGGAAGACAATATCAGCAACTGAAGTTGTGGATCTTGACTAATTTGACCCGGATGTACGTTGATATGGCTTTTGAGACAGAGCCTCTTTGGACCCAGTGTTTGCTGGGTGGCATTACCTGGATCCCCAAGAGGATGCAGAGATACCATGGTGGGACGTCTAAGATGCCATAGGCCAGGTGGCTGCTGCTGGGACTCCCAGGCTGACCATCCTTCTTCTTGCCTCGGCCATCATCTTGGGAGCTGAGCATGTTATCATCCTGCTGCTGAGAACAACAGAAGGACACATGTGGGCATTTCCAAAGGAATCAAATGGGTTTCTTGATTTGAACCACACAGATTTGAACACACATTACCTCCAGAGGCAAGAGGTAATGAGACAAAGATAACTGTTGGCCGGCTTGGATTTCTGGGTCCAGACTCAAAAGAGCAGTGATTTTCTTTATTACATATCTGCAGAGGGCCTCTGTGTGAATCTGGGGCCATGCAAGAGGAGTGGATGCCTTGCCTGAAGCCCTAGCAGAGAAGCACCTATGTGCAGCAAGAGATGGGGGCCAACTCCAAGGTCAGAAAATGGGCAGGATTCCCTTCTAGATAGGTAAATGGGGATCCTGGCCCCAGAATGGTGTAGCTGCCCTCAGGCTCTGGGCTCACATCTGCCAAAGCCCTCATGACAGGATGATTACTATATGGACAGTGTCCTTATCCATCTCTTCTGCTGGGCTGTGAGTTCTTAGAATGCATTGATTGTGCCTTACTCTTCTTTGTTGTCTCAGCTTCTAGAGTAGTCCTTGTGCTCAGTGTAGACCAAATGAATGGATGTCACACACAAATGTAAATGAGTGCAGTGCATACAGAATGTTCTATGGGCAATAGCCAACTTATTCCTACCAGTTTAACCAAAATTAACTTTGAATTACTGTGCACTGTAGGATGTTAAGCATCATCTGTGGCCTCTATCCACTAGATGCTAGGTGCACCTCCTCCTCTACAGTTGTGACAACCAAAAATGTCTCTGGACATTGCAAATGTCCTCAAAGTGGAGAAGTAAATTCGCCCCCAGTTAAAAGCTGCTGTTTTGATTATTAAGCAGTTCCCACTACAGAAGTCCTAACTAGGGACAGTGCTGCCTGTCATGGGGAGGTGGGGCAGGTAGACCATCCCATCTCCTGTGTGGAGATGGAGGAAGCCAGGCTGCCTCCTCCACGGGGTTAGAACATTAGCAAATACTGATCCTAATTCCTTCCCAGAGCCACCTGTGGGGCCCGCATCACTGGCCATCGAGAAGGCGTGGCATAGCGCGCTGAGCCTCGGTGCAGCCGGGGGATCCCAGGGCTATGGTCAGGCTGCTGACGGTGGGCTGACTGATCGAGCCGAAGCCCAGCTCTGCAGAGTTATCTTGTTGCTGGGGTTCTGAACAGTGTTTGCTCATTAATTTTCCAACATTTAGGTCCTAAAAGATTAATGTAAGAGTTTTGCTTCTGCTCATCTGTTTAGCGATGCCTGGAAGTATGCATCCCTCACCTGCTCCAGGAAGCCTTCCCAGCCTCAGACTAAAGTAGCCCTTTCCTCCTCAGAGGCTCCTACAAAACCATGAGCACATTTACCCTGGCCCAAAACAGGCCTGAGTGCCGCGTGTTTCCTTATCCAAAAGATCATCAAGTCCCATAAAGTCTCTATGGCCATCCCAGCACAAAGTTAGCACTCATACAACTCTCTGTTGACTGGTGAATTAGATGAATGAATGTATAAATTAATGACTATAGAGAGTTTTTCTCACTGATTTTCTTTTAAAGATTGGCCCAGAGCTAACATCTGTTGCCAATCTTTTCTTCTTCTTCTTCTTCTTCTTCTATCCAAAACCCACCAGTACATAGTTGTATATTCTAGTTGTAGGTCCTCCTAGTTCTGCTATGTGGGACACTGCCTCAGCATGGCTTGAGGAGTGGTGCTAGGTCTGTGCCCAGGACCTGAACCAGCAAAACCCTCGACCACCAAAGCAGAGCAAGTGAACTGAACCACTAGGCCATGGGGCCAGCCTTTGATTTTTTTTTTAAGTAAATCCCTAATTAACCGGTAGAACTCTTCTGAAACATCGTGCTTATCCTATCTAGACTTCTGAGAAGAAGGATGTATTGATGCTGCTTGGTCTTGGGTTGCACAGGAAAGTTGTTTCTGCCGAAGGAGGTTAAGGCTGGGCCCAAGACAGACTGCAGGGTGCTAAAGGGAACGAACTCTGGGCCCCTGAGCCCTTGTCACGAGGTTTTAGTGAATGTATGGAGGAATCAGTGAGGGCAACAGAGGAAAAACAGGTGGAGGAAAAGAGGAGAGGGAGAAGGAAAGAGAGATTGATCGATCAATCGATTGATTGATTCTGGGTAGGCTACACAGAACAATAGACCATGCAGTTTGAAGCTGGGCTGACATGGTCTGTCAGTGCCCTGCTTGGAGGCCAAAGGCACATCACTTCACCTCTCCCAGCCCCAGTCTCCCCATCGAAATCTGCGATGGTTGTAAGGACACTTGAAGACTCCAGTGTGTGCAGTGTATGTGGCATCCTGCTGTGTGCGCCCATGCGTGAGCTCACAGGGCTGTGGCTGGTACAGCTGTGTGTGTTCTGCCAACAAGCTCACCTCACATCCTCTCTCAGGACCTCCCAGAATTCTCAGGAAGGTGATGGGGAGGGAAACACTGACTGGAGAGAACTGTTGGCTCTGGACCTTCTGGTCTTTTGCCCTCACAGGAGCCAATGACTCAAGACTATTCCTAGTCTGTGGACCTCTCAATAATCTAAGTTCTGTCTGGATATCAAATTGGACCATCTGAAGATTATGGAAACCACTCCTGCATCCACTTTAAAACAGTTATCAGGGAAAGTGACCTTGCATGAGGCCCCACATAAAAAAAAAATTCAAAAAAAATTGTTTAGGACTTAGAGTTGGGAAAATCCTGTCTTCCTTGAGAACAGCTGGTTCTTCTCTTCTGATAAAAGTGTGTGACTTCTGGGAAGCCCGTCAGCCATGGCTGGTAGACCTGGTGACCTCATGTCACTTAGGCAAAGAGATGGAACAAAAAATAAAACAAGCAGGTACACAGAGTGCTAAGATTCATGTGGGTCAGAAATGAATCACTAGCATATTAAAGACATACATAGAAACAAGTGACATCCCAAAGCTCTTGTAGAGCAGCCCTTCTCAGACAGAGGCAGACACTGTCCCATCCTGGGGCATATCTGAATCTGGGAGGCACTTTTCTCCCAGAGAATCCCCTGCAGGGAGAAGTCTGTGCCTGTGACTCACGCAGCTGCAGACGGAAGCTTGCGAGCCCCTTCTTGGAGGAAGAATGGATTCTTAACACAGCGTCCCTGCCAGTGAGCACTGGGATGAGAAGAGAGGCCACAGCTCTGCTTCTGCTTGGAGGTGAGTCCATCAGCTCAATACATGGCTGTAACCTCACTGAAAGACTTGATCAAAAGAGGAGTTCTAATGCGCTTTGGCATTTTATGGAGCTTTACAGTTTACAAAGAGCTTCCGATGCATCCTCTCATCTGCCCCAATTTACAGGTGGGAAGACTGAGGCTTAGTGAGGCTCATGGCTTGTCCAAGGTCCCACTGTAAATGGGAGAATGGAATCATCCTGTTTTGGCGTCAAGGGCAGTCATCTGCAGGTGCGTCCCCTGTGCCTACAGCCCTCCAGCTCCCAGGACAGATGAGCAGAGCAGGAGGAGACCCTGGTGCAGGGAGAGCAGCAGTGGGAAGGGGGAGTTCCTGGGGGAAGACGGATCCCTGCCCTCTGACTCCATCCGTACCCCACACAGCCTTTGTGCCCCCACCGGACCCTCTAGGTTCGTTTCCTAACATTCCCGTTCACCAGGCTCTAGCCAATCGGATTGTCCAGGTTTCTCCACATGTGGCCTCAAATGATCCCGCCTCAGAGCCTTTGCTCCCTCTGTGCTCCCCACTCAGTGCCCTGCTTCCCCTACCCACCCCCTGCCTCCAAGAGCTCAGTGCCTCCTCCCCATCACCTCCCCTGACCCCGCACCCCCATGCGATTTTTCTCCCTAGTACTCCAGCACATGTTGCCTCTCTGTTATGTAATTTACCATTTTCTCCCTTGTACCATAAGCTGTCTTCCCCGTGTTTATATCCCCAGAAGGTTCTAGCAGAGAAACATGCATGTGAAAACCAAAAACATCTCAGAAAAATGACTTCTTAATCCAGGTGCTGAAACTGAGGTTTTGAGGAAAATGAAGAGAAGACGCCACAGAAGAGGAGATGGATCCGGGCCCAGACCTCCCCTCCCCACTGGCCGCAGGTAAGCCCCAAGTGTGGCAAAGATCCCAGCCTTCAGAAAACAGAGTCTTCAACTTATTTCCCAAGACCTTTTTTTCTTTTAGTTTCATTTTGCTTCCATGAGGTGGTGGCAGAAAGGATTCTGAGGAGAAGAAAGGGGAATGTTCTCAGGGGCCTTCCACAACTTTCCAGAAGAGATGGCCAGGGCCTCTTTACCAGACAGCTGACCAGCAGAGGGCAGGGTCTGGCAGCCTGGCTCCAGGGGACAGCTCTTGGGACCCAGCCCAGGTGCGCAGGTAGCAGATGTCCTGCAGATGCCTTGGCTGGGTCTCACTTGGGCGACAGGCCTGGCCTGGTACAAAGCGGCTCTTTCTGCCTGTGGTGTGAGTGGCAAGAACAGAGGGTCTCTGCTCAGATCCCCTGTTAGTCTCAGGTGGCCAAAACAGGTGGGAGAGGTGGTGGGGCCAGGACTAGCTCACGAGCCTCTGAATGGGTCACTGTGACTCTACTCCTCTGGGCCTCGGGTTCCTCATCGGGCAAATGGGAACAGAGGTGCCTGTGGCATTGGCTTGGAGGGAAGGAAGCCAAGTACATGAAGTGCCTGGGGCATGTGGGTTGTCAGCAAACATTAGTTCTCTCTCTCTGCTTCCCTCTCTCCTTCCCTTTGCTTTGTTCAGAAAGGGCTTCTGAGCAAAGAAATTGTAACACTGAGAACCCTGGAAAACAAATATTTGGATTCAACAGAGACAAACCTAAGGTCAAAGGTAGAGCAAAGGGGCTCCTCCAGCTCTTCCTCAGTCCTTGTGGTTCATCCACAGGGTCAGCCCTGGAGGAATCTCTGCCTCTGGGGACCAGGTGGGAGGGCGGCCGCCACCCCTGTTTAATCACCTAAAATCTTGTCTGGACTGTGAGGCTCGGTCCTTAGCACTAATAAGGAATGGGGGCTTTAGGACTCCCTGCTGGCCCCTCGGGGCCTCTCTCTCCCTTTCTGCCTGCCCCCCTCTTCTCTTTCCCTCTCTCTTCTACTAGCACTCACCAGGAAGTCAGGGTGCTCACAGCTGGTCATGGCAGACTTCACGGCAACTGGAGGACTCCTGTTGGCGTCCTCCCAGCGTGAAAAAAAAGGGAAGCCGCTCCAGTAGAGAAAGATTAACTTCTCAATGCCCGCCAAAATAATAAAAGAGAGAGGCCCACAGGGATCCCTGGCCTGGCTCTGGGGAGGGAGGGGCCTCCTGGCTCCAGATGCGGATCTGCAACAGACTCCCGCCCGCGCCACTGCCCCACCCCAGCCCTCTCCAGTCATAATTTGGTAAGTTTGGGTAATCGCAGAGAAGTTGATACCCCATGACGCTAAGGGACGAATCAGGGCACAGCCTGTCAGGGTGTGGCAGGAGCTCACTTTGGGGAAGCCGAGTTCCTGGGGGCAGGAAAGGAGGGGGCGAGGGGGAGGCTCTGGCTGAAGAGGTTTTTCAGTTTCGAAAGCTGATTTCTAGTGACTGGCTGAGCTGCGATGAAAGCACTGCAGAAACAACCTAACCAGCCTGGCCTCTGAGATGCGTTAATCAAGTCACCAATGAGGGAAAGTGTATTACTGTTGACCTGGGAGCAGCCACTAGGGCTCAAGGGTGCAGCAAAGCCTCAGTGAGAGACTGAGGAAAAAATGCTTCTAATTCTTAAGTGCTTGTCTCCCTAACACCCGGAAACATCTAATAACTCAGCTTTTAGAGAGACGGGTCCAGGAAGCCATCGTCTTACTCTCATTTTGCAGAGGGTGCTTGACAGGCCCTCCTCGAGAACGCAAGGTAAACCCCATTCCACGAAGTCCAAAGGAAGCCAAGTACTGGCTACTCGTAATGGTGTCATGTTCTCGAATGGGTGGTGCTGGGTCTCAAAGTTCAAAAAACACGCAGGACACACATAGACATCATTGGGAATTGGTCCAAGAGGGAGCACTGAGAAAAGCAACAATGAGATGTTTGACCAGGGAGAAGACAGACCTGATTTGGACTGTGACAGAAAGCCAAGGTCGGAAGACAGTCAAAGGTCACCAAGTAGCTAGCTTTACTAAATGCTTAACTATGTTGACTTGCTGCACCTTTTTTGTATTATCTTATTTAATGTTCGCCGCAAACTAGCACCCACATCCTTATTTTATAGATCAAGAAACTCAGGTGTTGATGGGGTGAGCTCTTTGCCCGAGGCTCATAGCAAACACAGGAGCTGAGGTTCAAACCCAGACAGTCTTGTTCCACAGCCCACGGGGCTTGAGGAGATGCCAGATAGAGACCTGCGAACCCTCTGGGTCTGGAGATCAGAAGGACAAGGCTCCAGGGGAGATGGCCCGGAGGGTGTGGATGCAGAGGGGCTTCCTCAGGCTGCCCCTGAGAGGAAACGTGGGTCCTCTACAAATGGCACCCAGGGGCTTAACAGTCACCTTGGAAGTGAAGGTCATTGCTCAGCCTCAGGAGGGCGCTTCGTCCTCCCCGCCTCCCCAGAGCGTGAGGAAAGATGGTGCAGGCTTAGCTACACAATTGAGGTACATCACAAAGATGGTCTCCTGTTCCCACTTCATTTGGCTGCCTGTTCACAGGGTTCCAGAACCCTCCTCACTCTTCATCTTCAAGTCCTTTCTTCTGGGCCTGACGCTCTTTGTTTCACATGGTTCTCTGCACAAGTCCTTTCTGTGTTCGCCCTGTGGCCTGTGGTCACTGCTGCTGTCCGTGTAGTCCCCACCCCCTCAGCAGCTCAGATGAGGAGCCAAGCCAGCACCGCTCCTTTTCCTCCACCTTCGGCCCCTCAGAAGTGACTTCCACAGACTGTGGTTTCTTCACTCATTGCCTGGCCTGGCTTCTGCCACCATCTCTCACACTAAAGCCACTGTGGTACCCAACAAATCTCCCACAGCCTCAGCTGCCTTGCCCTCCCGCCCCAGCTGGAATCATCTCGCCACCCCACACACACAACAACCTGAGGTTACCATATACCCCCAACACATTCACATTAATTATTCATGACTCCTTGTTTTGAGTTACAGAAATCCAGTTCTGGTAATCAGGTCAGGCAATGAGAGGAATTTGTTTTAAGAATATGGGACTGGGGCCAGTTAGGTGGCATAGTGGTTAAGTTCCCCTGCTCTGCTTCAGCAGCCCAGGGTGCTGAATCCCAGGTTCATGGGTTCAGATCCCGGGTGGGGACCTAGACTGCTCACCAAATCACGCTGTGTGGCATCACCATACAAAAAAGACGGGAAGATTAACATGGATGTTACCTCAGGGACAATCTTCCTCAAGCAAAATGAGGAACATAGGCAACAGATGTTAGCTTCCAGCAAATCTTCCTCACTTAAAAAAAAAGGATATGGGATCTCTCTGAGAACCAATGATCTTTCCCCAAACACATGACGGAATTAAAACTCTCCCATTCCATTGTCACATAAACTTCTAATCCCAAATTTGAGGCAGTTCCTCAGGCTCCAGGCCCTTTGGGAGGAGAAGGGCGTTGGGCCTCTCCGTATATAACGCATGATGGCCCCACTGGATGCACCATCTTTGCATGTGGAGTAGGCCAAGCAGGAAGGCTTGACCTGGACCTTTTCTCCGCTGAGGTCAGATTAATTGGCAGTTGGCTGTTGTAGGAGGGAATTTGCAAAGACATGGCCATGAGGCAAATCACGCCTGACAGCAAGCATGAAGAAGGCCAACAGAGCTTCTCAATTGTGGGTCAAACTAAACTGTGGGTGCTGCTTTTGGTTTTGCCATTCAGAATCCATTCAGCCTGCTCTCATTTTCCTCTTGGGAACCATCCTGATCCACAGCAGCCAGCTCACGTGCTTCAGGCAGAGTTTACTCTGCCCAGTGGTTGCCCTGCAGGAGGGGGTGGGGCAGCTGGAGCACCGCAAACTCCTGGCCACAGCCTTGGTTGGATTAGCGATGGGTATGGGACCCAACTAGAGCCACTGAGGCGCAATGAGACTTCTGCCGGGACTTTGGGGAGAGAGGCATTCTCTCTTTTTCACTAAACTTGAACCTGGAGGATGCTGCTCTATAGCTGCTGGCAGCCATCTGACAACTGTATAGAGCCTGAGAAGGAAGCCGACATGGAGAACAGAGCAGAGATGGAGAGAGACTAGGTGCCAGTGATATTTGATCCCATGTATCTAGCCATATACTTCAGCTGGTAAATTCTCTTTTTGGGGGCCGCCCCGTGGCCGACTGGTTAAGTTGGCGTACTCTGCTTCAGCAGCCCAAGGTTTTGCTGGTTTAGATCCTGGGCATGGACATGGCACCACTCATCAGGCCATGCTGAGGTGGTGTCCCACATAGCACAACCAGAGGCAGTCACAATTAGAATAAACAGCTGTGTACTGGCGGCTTTGGAGAGAAGAAGGAAAATAAAAAAGAAGATTCATAATAGATGTTAGTTAGGTGGCAATCTTAAAAAAAAAAATTCTTTTTTAGCTTAAACCAGTTTGCTTTGGGTTTTCTGTCATTTGCAACCAAAATACCAATCCACAAACTTACGCTTTTATCTCCAATCTTAATCCAGTTCTTTTTCTAGAATTACTTACACAATATTTGCTAAGTTTTACCCTTCACTAACAATGATTGTTACATTTATAAGAGCATTAAAAATAACTTAAACATTAGTTCTAATGGTAATCACCTCAACATATTTTTCCACAACAGAATTGTCTAAAAAGTGGCAAAAACAATACAAGAGACTATTGGGGAACAATTTAAAGCCCATTTGTCCAAAAGATGCTTCACTCAAATGAACAGTCATGCACCGCATAATGACATTTTTTGTCAGTGATGGATCACATGAACAATAGTGGTCCCATAGGATTAGCACCATATAGCCTAGGCGTGCAGTAGGCTCTACCATCTAGGTTTGTGTAAGTATACTTTGTGATGTTTGCACAACAAGGATACTGCCTAACAACGCATCTCTGAGAACATATCCCATACTTAAGCGACCCACGGCTGTACCTAATTTCATATACTCTTGTTCTGGAGGGTGAAGAAACCAACATTAGCCATGGACAGAGGGGTTTCCTAACATCTTTATACAGCCCTGGCTTGTTTCACCAGAAATTGGAGTTGTAGAATTTTAGGTTTGGATTTGCAAAATTATTTACCTCAAATTTTGATATCTACAGCTTGGAAACACTGCCCCAATGGATTGTGGCTCTTGATTTATGACTTCCTGGTCTAAATATTCCAATACTCATGCTTAATTGAATCTCAGTTTCTAGAACAGGGGATGGAAAACCACGACTCACAACTCAAATCTGGCCCACTGCCTACTTGTAAAAAAAAGAGCTTTACTGAAACATATCCACGGTCATTCGTTTCCATCTTCTCTATAGCTGCTTTTGGGTTACGATGGTAGAGTGGAATAGTTGTGAGGGGCCCACAAAGTCTAAAATGATTACTACTTGGCCCTTTACAGAAAAAGTTTGCTGACTTCTGCTCTAGAACATCAGTCCAAAAAGTTATGTTTAAAAAAAACCCCAATTTAAAAAGTCTTCAGCATATAATTTTTCATCTTTAACTACACAATGTAGGCATGAGTTAAATAAATTTAAACAAAGTATAAGTACTTTTTTTAAACCCTATGATCTCCTCTTCAGCTGATATCAGCCTTTGCGCTCCTCTTCCAGAGCTCAGCATCCCACAGGCATTTCTGTGCGTTCACTCTCGCAGAGCACAGGCCTGACTCCGGGGCTGCTTAACAGGAACATCCGAACAGGCAGTTTGCCATTTATAATCATTGTTCTCTGCTCTTAGGGCACTAACTGCTTCTGCTAACCCTTCAGCTCGTCTCTGTCTCTGTGTTCAAGCTCTTCTGTTGGACAAGCAGGGCCCAGGGAGGAATATCCAGGTGGGGTCCTAGGACCTGGATTCGATGGAACTGACCTGAGGGCTGTGGAACCAAGAGCCGAAACCAGCTTATGGAGAGTAGGGTTGAAAACCACTACTCTAATATAAGCAGGAAGATTCCAAAGTGGGAAGACAGGTTGCGAAATTTAACTGCTGCTCCAAGCTGCCCCTTCTCAGCAGAGGCAGGTCCTGCAGCCAGCTTTGGTGTCTTTATAGTTGCAGCTCTTCCTTATGGCACACTCTGGATCCCCAGGCCGGGTCACTGAGGCTCAGAGTGGAGGATGGGGCTTCAGAAGGCTGGGCGAGCAGAGACCAGGGAAAGT